TTTTTTTTAGAAGCTTACTATGTAAAGTCAAGAAAAAATGTTTGTCAATGACTTTATAACATAAGCATTATAAAGAGAGGGCAATCGTTATCACCTAAATTTTTACCCTTAATACTTTTTCTTCAATTTTTATTTTTATTGCAAAATACCAAAAAAATGAAAAATGAAAAAAAAAAGAAGAAAAAATGGAAAATGGAAAAGAAAAAAATCAATGAGAATAATTAGTTTATGTTAAAGAAAGAAGAGAAAAACAAAGATGGAGGGGGTTAATTGAAGAAATGGAAAGTTTGAAGGTAAAAAAAATGATAATTGAGGGTCCAATCAAAAAAATCAAAACTTATATCCTTTAATTAAAACAACAAGGGGGCACAATTGAAAAAATAAAAAGAAAAGTCTCAATTAATTGGGATTTAAAGGGCCTATTGAAGCAAAAAAATCAAGATTAAACTCAAATTGATGGATGGAAGAGAGCCAAAGACCAAAGCTGAATCTTTGCCAATGAAACCCTACATATAAAAGTCACCCATGCATTTTTTAGTATAAGTTACTATTCATCATCACCTTCACAAAAAAAAAAAAAAAAACCTCGCTAGCGAGACACTATCCCCTCTCTCTTTCACTCAAAAATTTCCTCCATGGATGCCCATTTCCTCTCTTTCTTTCCTTGACAAAAACCACAATAATCACCCCACGGATACTCATCTTCCTCCCCAACACCTATCCTTAACCAAAACTATTGTTCATCTTTCCCATATCTCCTTCACTTAGCCCACTGCAACCCCTCCACACACAACCCTTGCTCGCCAACTCTTGCCCATAGCCACCCATACACAAGCAGACCTCACTAACATAGCCCCTCACCCACAACCTACATCACCTCCTCATAGCCCCTTTTGACATGGCATTATAGCCCCCATAATTTCATCCTTACAAACTCCATATAATAGCCCTCTCTTCTCCCTCACCAAGACCTCTCTTACAACAACCATTGTCTAAGCCACTAAAAACCTATAGTGTGCGACCAGTCCAATCCTTTTCTTTGTGTGTGCCAACTCGCGCACCACGAGCCGGCTCCTCGCAACCCTAATGCCAAACAACCCCGTTGTATTAGCTCACCTTCACATCTACTCGCTCTTGCCCACACCCCTCGTCCAAGCCTCCAGACTTCCTCATTGCCCAAAACGACCCCCACTGCCTAGATACGCCAACGCCTCATTGTCTTCCCCCTTCTCCTCCTCGCCCAACTCTCCAAGGCCAATGCCAACGCCTCATTATCTAGGCCATCAAGAGCACGTAGGAGTAGCAACCTCACGACCCAAAGCCACCGGACACCCTAAGGTAACGAGCTAGTTCTTCGCTAGCCTCCCAAACCTATGCCCCTTACCCCTTCCAACCAGCTCACCCACACACACAAGTAAGCCCACACCAAGCCTCATCGCACTCCACTCTAGTCCCCCAACTCTAGCAACCCACACACCAGGTTCCGAACTCCAGCCCTTACCCAAACCATCACACCCGGGAGCTCTAACTCTAGCCTTGAAACAAGTCACCAATGCCCCCAAAAACACCTCCAAAAAGCCTCTTTGGACAACCCATTAAACCATCAAAATAGCCACCAAAACACCTCAGGCCAGCCTTAAGATAGCCCCAAAAAACCCCTAAAGCACCCACTAAAATAGGCATAAAACATCTCTCAAATAGCTCATTTGACACTTTTTTAGAGCTACCGAAAAAAGAAATAAATAAAAGCAAAAAAAAAAGACAAAAATTTATTGTGTTAAATTATGTTGGTAAGAACAACATGATGTTGAAGAATGCATTTGCTTGATTTTCGACAAGAAAATAAAAAGAAAAGACAAAAAAGCCACCTTAAGCTTTCGGGAACTCGCAATTATGCGAGTAGTGACTCCGCAAATTTGAAAGTAACTTTGGAATATTCACCTAAGTAAGAGAGGAGTTTTTTTCCACTTTAGTGGCACTCACACCACACATTTCTCACCAACGCTTACTCTCCGTTTCCGACTAATTGAATAATCGATTATCATCATGTATGAAGAGGGTAAGACTTACTTCAAATCAAACATTGATATTTCAAGACTCTTGGGTAAAAATCATAAAACCATAGCACTTCGAAAATATGATAAAGGTTAAAAATGATTGGTATGTTTGGAATGTGATTAAAATTGCTATATTTGGCTTCATATTTACGGATTAAATGCGGTTAAAATAAAATATTATTGCAATGACCATTAAAGGACAATATGTCATGTTTTCTCGTTAATTATGCATCTCTATCCAAATGTGAAGTTTGTGTTAGTTTTTGTGATTCAATTGACTTTTCATGATTAGTTACAATGTACAACGAAGCCATTGATGGCTTCCCACTTATGTGATGTAGTCGTCGATGGTTTCGAAATCATTTTGTCTAGTGCTTGATTCCTATCTTCCCTGCTTCTTGTTTACTATTCCCTACTTCCTGTTTTCTATGTTTTCTTGCTTATTTTATCGAAATGAAGCTTTCGATAGGTTTTCACCTATGCGAAGAAGTTGTCGGAGGGCTTCGAAGCCACTTTATTGATTTTTATACTCGATTCCTATTTTGTAATGCTTGTTTTCCTCGCTTTCTTATTTTCGATCCTTGTTGCCTATTTTTAATTTTTCATTGTTTATTTAATCAAAATGAAACAGTCGGTGGCTTCCCACTTATGTGATAAAGTCGCTATTGGTTTCAAAAATAATTTTTCATTTAATATCTCGTTTGTTTGAAATGAAGTCCCTAGTGGCTTTCCACTTATATGACAAAGCCGTTGGTGGCTTCTAAATAGTTATCTCGCTCCTCACTGGAGCAACATCAAGTTATCGATGACTTTCCACTCCTATGACGAAGTTGTCGGTAACTTCTTAAATGTGTGACCTAAAGTAATCGGTAGCTTCCCACTTGTGTGAGCGAAGTCGCAAGTGACTCAATGCTTATGCCAATAAAAGGCTATTCATCTTTATAAACTCACCTATTGATTGATAATAGGTCATGTTCACTAATGATTAGCCGCAGTTCCAAATTCCTTCGCCTTTTTCCCCTTTGGGTAGGCGGTATTGACCTTAGATCGACTCGAACGCCCAAACTATCCTATTTTACATCTAAACCATCTCGTCCCATAGTTTTACCAAATAAATTCATTTAAATAGGCATAGAAGTATAACATAGTAAGAATTAGATTTTTATGTTCACGAGTAAATAATGCGACCTACGTCGGGTAAGACGGGATAGTGGTAATGTCATATCTTCTCTATACGTAACCGATTCCTTATCTAGATATCAATGTAGATCAATATGTTTAAGGTTTCCTAGTTTTCTCCAATTAGCTAGGTGGCGACTCCTTGTTTTGGCTTCTCCTCGCGGTGCCCAACGTCGACAAACATTACATTATATATGTGTCTTTATTTTAATGTAGAATCTAATATGTCAAACCAGTAACATTAAAAATTAAAAAAAGTAACCAAACGTAAGTTGTCGTTGTTGCTTGATGGTTGGTATCTAGATTGCTCATTGAACATGTATCGTGTTCTAACCGTCTAAGGCTCTTGGGTTTTAGAATTATTAGACCTTTAGGTCTCCTATAGAAAGAAAATAATAAATAAATAAATAAAAATAACTAGACGAACACAAGGAATTCTTTATCTTGTTACAATGCCTAAAAAGTTGCTAATATATATAGAAAGATTGGTAAATGTTCTCTCTAATTCCCCTCGAAGTGCTCTTTTTTATATATTGGCAATATTACATATAGTGCGATGGTAGAGGACGAGGGGCATGACTCCTAGAATTTTAAAAAATTTTACTTTTTGGTTCTAAAATTTTGAAAAAAAAATTAATTACACCATACAAATTAATTAAGGATTAACTTTTTTAACAGCTTTTTTAACTTATAAGTTAAAAAAAATAACCCTTAATTAATTTGCATGGTGTATTTAATTTTTTTCAAGCTTAGGTTTCTTGATATATTTTAGCCAAAAAAAAAAAAAAAAAAATTACAAAGAACCCTAAAAGAAAGAGGTGGGTTTTTATTATTCTTAGACTCGTTTACATATTCACAACATTTTTGTTATTTTAGGTTTTTTTATGCATTTATTCCTCCCACATTACTGTTCACCTCTCACTACTAATTTTGAGGTTTTTTTTTTCGGACATTTTATATGTAAATTTTTGCTATGTTGTGTTTCATCCCTCATTTTTTAACAATTTTTGTTTCGATTTACAACTTTATTTGTATTATAATCTGGTTACTAATTGTTAAGAGGATAGAGAAATGAAAAGAGATGAGAAATAAGAGAGCAATCTATGTATAAATTTTTAATGATTTTTTAGAATATTGTTATTTGCTATTTAAAAAAAATAATATAATTTAGATAATTTGTATTAATGATTTTTTTAGATAATTTGTCTTATACTTTTTTGGAAAAAAATTTTAAAAAAAGTTTTTAGTTAAAAGTTCATAAATTTTAGACTTTTTATTATAAGTTATTAGTTAAGAATATGGATATAAGAGAATAAATTATATTTTTTAGCAGAAAATTTATAAAAAACATAAAAAATATTTTGTTAAACACAGAATTAAAAAAGGTAATTATATTTTTACTTTCTATTTGATATATTTTAATAACTAACAATATAACAAATACCATTAAATTAAAATTATTTTTTAAAATAAAATTTTGTCCGACCCTGTATGGTGCTGGTAAAAAACCTAGTGACTCACCTAAAAGATCACATTTGGGCTGAGCGAACCGTTTGTAGTTTTTTTTTTATCACTCGGTAGCTAACAAAACCCACTTCGCTTTTCAAACACGAAAAAAATTTTTAAAAGAGAAACCACACTCATACCCATATATAAATAAATCAAACCAAAATTGTTTTCTCAGATCTAATCTAATACTTTAAATCTTTGATGATCAACATTTTCGTTAACTGAGTTTGCAGAGAGATCAGAATTCGCTGAAAAATGGAGACTCCACAAGGAGGATCCGAGAGAGACAAATCGAACCCGACTTCTTCTCCTGCCTCCGTCGTCTCCAATTTCTGGAAAGGTAACATTTTAATTTATTCTGGTTATTTTTTTTCATGTAACTGAACTTTCACAGTTGATTTATCTATTCTTTCTTCAATTTATCGGCATTTTATCAATTTACGAGCGGATGATCGTTTCTTTATTTATTTATTTTTATATTGATTTGTTATCAATTTATCAGTCGTTTGTTGAGTCTTTAACTTATGCTGCATTTTGCAAGAGTAGGACAAGAAATATTGTTTTGGATAACTTCTCTCTGTTTTTTTTTATTTTTTTTAATTTTTTTAACAGACTTTGAGTTGGAGAGAGAGAAAAGTGTGTTGGATGAGCAGGGGCTTAGAATTGCCGAAAATCAGGAGAACAGCCAGAAAAACCGAAGGAAGCTTGCCGAGAGCACTAGAGGTATCACTGCCACCACTAATTCATTAAATATTCGTGCAGATCGAGAAGGGTTTTTTCTTTTTCTTTTTTTTTTTTTTTTTTTTTAGCGAGCCTGTTTAGTATCTAAAGAATTACTTTCCAATATATTGTTCTTTATTTAATTGTGATTTTTTTTTCATTGTTTTTGTTGACAGATTTCAAAAAGGCTTCCTCGGATGAAAAGTTAGGGTTGTTTAATTCTTTGCTTAAAGGGTTCCAGGAAGAAGTAGATAATCTTACTAAGAGAGCGAAATTTGGAGAAAATGCTTTTCTTAATATCTATCAGAAACTTTATGAGGCTCCAGATCCTTATCCTTCTCTTGCTTCAATTGCTGTAAGTACCATCCCAATCTGTTTAGGGGGTTTTTTCTTCTTTTTCTAATGATTGCTTTGTTTAAAACTATGAATTCTGCAAATCGTTTGCCACCTTAGAATACTATATCTTTGACGAACAAGCTTCAAGTTATATTTGCATTTAATAAGCGTAGATGCCTCTTAAACATGGATTGGTGATATCGTTCTTCAGAAAATGCAGCAGTGACAAGATTTTGAGTGGCTTAACGAGGTGGATAATTTTATAATTTTGGACTGTCCTTGTTGCTACATGTGGAAAGCTTGTGTGTGCATGCATGTCTGTGCAAAGTATCTGTGTTGGTGTGTTTTGTGATAAATTCAGGAGTCTTGTTTTCTTTTTAATCCTCTTGAAAAACTGGTGAGGACTTAGTTTCTGCTGTTTTAGTTCCATAATTTTATGAATACTGGGAATTTAACTGCTATAATTTTTATGTAAATCGTAGTGCATAGTATTGGATATAAGTTTGGAAACCGAGTAATATTTTAGGTCCCAGCCCAACGATGTAAGGTTTCACCTGTTAGCAATGTAGTCTTTTCAACATTGACCATTGATGTCTGTAGTGCAAGCCTTTGAAGTAATGTGGAGTTTAAAAAGTTATTTTCCTCGTGATCTGTAAGTTTAGTTCTGGGTGCTAATTGTCTACGTTCACAATTTTGTCCATAGTCATTGATTGAGTAACCATATCGGAAACAAGCACCCTTTTTAACATCAGCTAAAGCTTAAATGCAGGAGTTAAATCTGAAAATTTTAGAATTGTTCCTGATGCCCTCCTGCTGCCAGGATGAGAATCCTTATGACCCACACAGCATCAATCTACTCTTCAAAACTGATGCTTTTCCCTATGCAGGAGCAAGATTTGAAATTGTCTGAACTAGAATCTGAGAACCGGAAGATGAAAGTTGAGCTAGAGGAGTTCAGGACGGAAGCAGCTCACCTAAAGAATCAGCAGGCAACAATAAGAAGACTTGAAGAGCGCAACCGTCAGTTAGAGCAACAGGTATGCGTTTTTTTGCTATGGACACTACCTTACCAGTGAGAAGTAAAGTTTTACTATTCCCCCACCGTAGATGTCAAGTTTGTAATTACATGGGCTCCTATGGACCAAGCAGTGATATTGCTTATATGATTTATAACAAGCAGTTTGGCTGGTATATAAAAGCAGAGACACTTTATCTTTTCTCTCTCTATTTGTCTCTCTTTCGTTTTAATTATTTTTGTTAAAATATTGAGCCATCTACCCTTGAGAGATGGCAATCAATTTACGTGATTTGCTCTCTGTCTCTGTCTCTGTCTCTGTCTCTGTCTCTGTTTTTCTTTTTTATTTTTTTATTTTTTTATTTTTTTATAGGAAGGTGATCTGCTCCTTTGCAATGATATATTGGAGCCTAATTTTCTTATAAGGCATTCAATTTCTCTCTTCTTTCTTGATAGTTAGGAAAACTGATGTGTATCTTTATGCATAAGTTCTTTATACTTAGAGGTTTTAGCATACATTGTGCATATGCGCTGCATAATTTTGTCTCTCCTTTGCCCAAACTTCCCTGCCTAAAGTTGATATCATCACATACAATTTGAAACAAAGGGGAAGTACAAAAATAAAATATAATTTTATTCATATCTGGAAGCATTTGTTGTTGTCAGAGACTCAGATTTATGTATACAGGACACAAGAATGGGGAAATATAATCCATTCTGACTGATTGTAAGCTGGTTGCATTGGGTTTGTTACTAAATGAGGACCATTGGCATTTTTTCCTCTCTCTCCTTCTATTATAATATTGAAAGTAGTAGACCCTCTGTTAGTTGGCATTATGATCGCCTTTCATAGATATCTGCTATAATATGTCTGCCTCATGTTTAATCTATTCTAATTATTTTGGAAAGAAAGAACGGTGATCATCTACTTATTGATGTTTGGTTCAGATGGAGGAAAAAGTGAAGGAAATTGTGGAGATTAAGCAACGTAGTTTGGCTGAAGAGAACCAGAAAACATTAGAGGTTTTAAAAGAAAGGTATTTTATCTGTGATTTGTTGTAGTGATAGATACTTTTCATTTTCACCAAAAGAAAGAAAAATTGAAGTTTTGTTGGTGTCTGTTTGAACTTTTCATTTTACATATCTCCCTTTCTCGTCAGGGAGCAATCATTGCAAGATCAATTACGACAAGCTAAAGAAAGTGTTGGAACTATGCAGAAATTACATGAACTTGCACAAAGCCAATTGTTTGAAGTTCGTGCTCAATCAGGTGATACGCAAATCTTGACTTTCTGTACTGGTGCCATAATATTGTTCTCACATCTATAATATCCTTAATCATGATTACAAGAAGCTCTCGTCTGTAAATTCTATTTCCATTCGAAGTATCTTATACCTTTTTATCTTTTAATAATAATATCAGAGGAAGAAAGGGCAGCAAAGCAATCAGAGGTCAATCTTCTGATGGATGAAGTGGAAAGGGCACAAACACGCCTGCTTAGTCTTGAGAGGGAGAAGGTTTGTGTTTCAAAATTTCTTAATTTTTACTTGTAATCAATCCTTCCCATTTTTTTATTTTCTTCCATTTTCCCAACTTCACTGGCTTAGCTGCTTCCTCTTCGTCTTCTGTTGTTTTCATGGTGGACTTCCTGGTCAGGTTTTTTGATAATCAATATGTTCTCGTTTTAACTGCTAGAGCTTATATAGGGAAATTGAAAGAAGAATCTCATTTTTTCTTTGATATTACTATTATTCTTCATAAATCAGTTTAGTGTATAATATTTTATTCATAAAGAATGTTTGGTGTTGAATGGTCAGGTATCCTGCATCAGATTCCAGCATTGATAATTTACTTGGCAAACTATAGAACAAAAGAACTGCATATTTAATTGTCTTCATTGGCCTATCATTGAGTTTAGTTAGCGACACTAATTGAATGAAATTATTTTCTTGTTGTTTTTGCTTCATGGGACATGTCAGCAGGGTTCTTACGCTGCGATTTTAGCTCAATGTCTTTTCTTTGGGTTTAACAAAATATTCAGTTTCAATATGTGATTTCAATTTTTTTTGGACACTAGCGATCAGATTCAGGCAGTCACTCCTGCTTGTGTTTATCTTCATTTTCCTTCATCTGGGAGTATGAATAAACCTGGCTGAGGATATAGGTTTTTGTTTCTTTTTATAGAAATTGTTGTTGGAGAATTTAGTCCAAGATTTTTATTTTCACGCCAGCTACTTTTGGGTTTTCTATTTTATTTTATTTGTTTTATTGTCACTTCTTATTAAATCTTTAGGAGGAAAGTATTATCTACTCCTTAAAATAGATCATGCTTCCACTTTCCATCCCAAAGTGAAAAGATCATGCTGTATAACTTCACGCCATCATATGATCCATGCTGCCAACTTCTCTATTGTTCAAGATAATAAGTGTTTTGAATGGACTTTTAACCATTGGCTTTTTCTTCTCTTTAATGCTCTGAAATATTAACTTGACCTCTCTGCAGGGTGTCCTACGCTCTCAATTGCAATCAGCTAATGAAGAGACTGAAAATAAGAAAGGGTAAGGCACTTTAGCACCACTGCCTCTGCTTCTGCTTCTACATAAACCACTGGCCTTTATGAAGATATGGATTGGATTTGCATATTTGTAATATTTCATTCCTCCTGTGATATTTCTTTCCATGATGAATGTTTGCATCATTCTAATCTATGTAGCATATTCTCTAACAGCAGTTTTTTTTCTTGAGCTCATTGTTTGTTGCTGTGTTGCAGTGACAATTCAGATTCAAATAGCATTTTTGAGAGCTCTTTGAATGCCAAAGAGAAGATTATCTCTGAACTTAACATGGAACTTCACAACATTGAAACCACATTGACAAATGAGCGAGAACAACACATTAATGAGATCAAAAAATTGAATACCTTACTTCATGAGAAGGTATGACACTTGTTCTTTTAGTGTCCTTTCAATGCTTAGCAACAGATATTGACCCTGTTGAACTTGAAATTTGTTAGATTCTTTTTTCATTCTCATGGAATACTTCATTTGCTTTGTGAAATTCAAATGACTGGATGTATCATTTACCAGGGATAAGAGCTGTAATATTACAACGTTTATAGTTTCTAGCATTTCCCTTTAATTTATGGCTATTGATTTGCTTCAAGGCTTTAGCCATACTTGAATAAGTTACTTTGGGGAAAAATTTTGTGGGCTAGGAATGTGCAAAATTATGTTGATATCTAAAAAGTTGGGATCTTCTGGATTGAGGTTGCATGAAGTGTCATATGAACTAAATTTCGATTAGGCGTCAAATTATTTGGGCTGGAGATCTCCTGAGGAAGAAGGAAGAGCTATTGTTACATGGAGTTTGCACTTTAGTGATTGTTTTGACATGGCATGGATGGGTGTGGGCATGCAATCTGTTGTGTTTAAGACATGCCATTTTCAAACCTGTTTTGTTTGGAGCTGTTCATGTATTCAAGCCAGAAATGCTCAGACACAGAGAGGGAAAGGGTAAGAGAGAGATGGGGTAGAATGAAGGAGAGCATAAGGGAGAAACCATCACTTGTGAGTCCTTCTATTTTGGAATTTTTGATTAAGAGACTCCTCCTGGGATTTGGATATGGACTGATCAGCCATTCAAAAGAGTTTGAAGTCTGCATCTCATACTTTCCTGTTTGTGCCCTTCTTTATTGGGCGTTCAATCCACCTTGCTCAACTTAACTAGTTTTATGGACTTAGTTGATATGGCATAGCTAACAATAAAACTAAGTACTAAAAAAATAGATGATGACAACAAATGCTGTTTCAGATTTTTTCCCATATCTAAGGAGTTAGATCAGAACAAGTCAGATACATAGATAAAAATATATCCAATACTTCCACCTGAACCTGGGCAAGAAGGTTTTGACAGATGATCTTTGCTGCAAAGTCAAAGCGAGCAGATAAGACATCCAAGATTTACGTCACTGATTTTGAAGAAGTAATGTTGGATAGTGTGTATGAATGAGGATTATTACGAATGACTGCAGGAACTTAATTTGGTGTGCTAATGAATAATGATTTAGGATGCAAAATCATCAATGTTTGCATTTGCTTATATAGATCTTTTCTTTTTGACCTTTTGTGTTGATTACTTGCATATTCCTTCATTTTGTTTATGCAGGAAGTTGCTCTCGAGGAGATGAAGAAAGTGCTTCAAGCAAGGCCAACTGAAAAGTTAGTTGATGATTTGCGTAAAAAAGTGAAAATTTTGCAGGTAACTACCTCTGCCATTTTGGTGATTATTCAAGAGTTCTTGTCGATAATTTTTTTTTCCTGGGGGGGTTTGGGGTGTGTTTGGGGTTGGTGGTTTTGGGGTATGCTTAGCCTTTTGAATGTCATTGAAATGTGAAATAAAATGTCTTTATATGAAGTTTTAGTTGCGTTGTGGGTTATTATACTCAGGTAGGTGAAGCCATTAATTTAGTTTGGCTATATTGGTTAATAATTTATGCTGTTATTGTCGGCCTGAGGCTTATCATAGATAAGCTCCAGAGGTCTGAATTTGCTATTCAATCCGATGCTAGAGCTCTCCTCACTTTCTGTGCCCTTCACAATGTTTTGTATCTCTCTGTTAAAGGTTTCATTGTTATATTATATGATTTAGGCTGTAGGTTACAATTCCATTGAGGCTGAAGATTGGGAAGTAGCTACAAGTGGCGAAGAGATGAGCAAAATGGAGTCGCTTCTTCTCGATAAAAACAGGAAAATGGAACATGAACTCACACAGTTGAAGGTATTAAATAGTCCTTGCATTACTTTGTTTCCTTTTCAGTTTTCCTTTTAGGGATTTATCATCTAGATCTAGCTGAAGTTTCTTAAATCAATATTGTCTAAATGTTTTCTTTTCGTCTTCTTTTCTTTTTTTCAATTTAATTCAATTTATTCATTTTTTATTGGTAAGATTTCAATCTTCAGCCCACCTTTGATCACCCAAGTCAAGGATGAAGGCCATGTTTGGAAATGTTTAAAAGGTGGTTAGTGATGTTTAGGATTGGTTATGATACTCAAATTTTGTTGCTTTCAGGTCAAACTCTCTGAGAAAGTGACTTTGCTGGAAGCAGCTGAAGGCAAGATAACAGAGCTTACTGGGAAGGTTAACGAACAACAAAAATTGATACAAAAGTTGGAAGATGATATATCAAAGGTTGGACTAATGACTTTTGAATGTCTTGACATGCCATATTCTGTTACTTGGTCACTCTGCATCTTCATGTTAGCCACTGTGAATCTATCATGCTCTGCAGGCAATATTGATAGGTCTACCTGATTTCTCAGATTCAAAATGTCCATTTAGTTCATGAAATTATGATCTTTCAATTTTTGACTGGACAAGTTATTGGCAAAGAATTATAGGCATCCAGTTTATAGATAATTTACAATCCTGCTGAGACATAATTAGCAAATAAATGAACAAAAACTGTCTACCCATCATAGATGATAATTATGAACAATGAACACTTCAAAATGTAATTCAAATATTTTCCCTCCTGGTGTAGGGTTATAGCTCCAAAGATCGGAAAGGCAGTCTATTTGAAGGTTGGGATCTTTCGGAAGCAGGGGGAGCTGAGTTATCTGAGGTACCTCTCTCTTTCTTGCTACTCTACAATTTCCAGGAATGTTTTTTTTTTTTTGAGATGAAATTAATAACAAGCATTGATCATTGATGTGTTATTTGTGATTGTCATGAATAACATTATTTTCACTCATCTCTTGAAAATAGTTAATGGATGCCATCATCTTCACCCTTCAATACTTATGCATGGCAAGTTTTACTATTTGTTTGGATTCAGAAGATACTAGGAAATTGAAATATGCTAGTATGCATTTGGGGAAAAAAAGGAAGAAAAGATTGATAACTTAATTGGCTATTGAACAACCAAGGAGGGAAATCATGGAAATAACATCAATTTAAATATTTTTACTTGCAGTTTTTATTTCATTGTTTTTCCTGAGTGGCTATTTGCAAAGTCATAGTCTTCCTGTTCGAGAATGGGAATTTATTGTTTGTTTTGTTTGCCAAATCATAGTCATCCTGTTTGAGGAAGGGAATTAATTTGTGAAATAGGCTTCATGACCATATTTGGAGCTTTTGCTGGGGTGTTGGAATAATACCTTTTATTGATTATGTTGAGTTCTTCTGGATTTATAATTTAACAATGGTGAAATTGAATCTCTCATAACTATCAAGGTTTTCAGGGACAATCCATATCAGGTTACACTTCAACTACCATTTTGATATTTTAGTGTTGGGTAAATTACACTAACCCCCTCGAGGAATCATGAAATTAGGATGAAATTACCTGAAAGTTTAGAGATTTGACACTAACCTCCTCCAGGTTTCATAGAATATTACATAAATCCCCCTTCAGAGTAACTTCTGTAAATCAGAAACATAAAAGCATGATGCCTTCATAAAAAGTAACCATGCGTGTAAATTTTTTGTGTAATTTATCCTTTTGTGTTTTGGTGTCATTCTTTCTCTGAAGTTCTTTTCTTCTCCATGAATATTATCTTGTTCAAACATGCCTCTTCTGGTCCAGAATTCAGATCAGAAACATGTTTCCTCAGATCAAGATCAGAGTTCAATGCTCAAGGTGATTTGCAATCAGCGAGATCGATTTAGGGCACGTTTGCAGGAGACAGAAGAGGTATGACACTATGCAATCTTTTTGTAAATACTCACTTTCCCTTTCAGTTCAGTTTTTTGTTTGGTACATTGCAAAGTATTCGCATTGGTAGATCAAATGTTAGTGTGATTTAAGTGACAATTCTTCAAAATATTGTAGGAGGTGAGGCAATTGAAGGAGAAGATAGGGGTGCTAACAGCAGAGTTGGAGAAAACAAAAGCTGATAATGTCAAGCTATATGGAAAAATACGCTATGTCCAGGATTACAACCTTGAGAAAGTAGTTTCTAGGGGATCAAAGAAGGTACCTAATTGCATATCAATTTCTATCTCTACTTACCTACTTGCTTCTAGTGCTTAATTGTTTCAATGTTATATGATCACTTTCAGCATGTGGAGGATCTTGAAAGTGGCTTTACCTCAGATTTTGAATCTAAATACAAGAAGATATATGAAGATGATATAAATCCCTTTGCTGCTTTTTCAAAGAAGGTTGTATTCTTTGAGCTCATCTGGTAAATGTTGTTTCATATCAAATCGCATGGTTACATGTTTGATCATAATGTGGTTTTTAAGGCCTGCCAAGTCCCTTTTCTTCTCTAGCCTTTGTCTTCCTATCCGAAGGTAGTAACTGAATAAAAGGGGCGTAAGCCTCAATAGCTTATGCATATACTTTCACTGATTTCGTTGAGCTAGGGATTTGTCATTGTTATTATTTAAGAATACTCACTTCAGTCTTCCATTTTTCTCCTAATAATTTAGAGGTACTAATAGTCTGTTTTATTATATTTTTAATGAAGAAAACTGAAAGCGATATCTTTTCACCTTCAATATTCAGATGCCTCAATTGAATGCATACATCTTGTACTTTGTTTGATGGAAGTTTACTTTGTTCCTGTTAGAAAGTAATATAAATTATATTATTGGGCCATACCTAACAGCTTAAGCTTTTAGGTGAGATGGTTTTTTAATATGGAATCAGAGCTTAGTTGATCAAGAGATTCTGAGTTCAAGTCTAACGACCTCTAATTTCTCAAGTATTAAGCACAAGACAATGTGGACATGTGTAAGCTTCAAGCCCACATGTTGGAGTTTTCAATTGAGGGGGTGTGTTAGAGAGTAATATAAATTATATTATTGGGTCTTACCTAACAGCTTAAGCTTTTAGGTGAGATGATCCTTTAATAGTTCCTGCTCGCTTTAGATTACCTTGTTACTCACATTTACTGGTGGGAGACAATTGAGGGGGAAAAAAAGTTATTGTTTAGGGTTGAAAGTTTGTATGAGGAAGTTGTACAAAAAGTGTTGGTAAACAGATATTGGCTGCAAATTCGAAAATAAAAGTCATAAATCCAGTAAATGGATTCTAAGAACCACATTCTTTCTTTCCGTTTAATTAGCGAGCATCATTTACATGATCTACATTTATGTTCGATTTATTGGCAGGACCACATTCATTTACCATCTTGCTGCATATCCTGGGCTTGTTGTACAGGCTTTTTGTAGCCATTTATTGTGTACTAACCAATCATTTATTTGTAACTAGGAGCGGGATCAAAGATACAAGGAGTTGGGTTTCAGGGATAGAATCACACTTAGTAGTGGACGTTTCCTTCTGGGTAACAAGTATGTTATGGTTTCCTCTTTTTTTCCCCTCACTTATTTCTCAGTACATAGTGCAAATCTTTATCTATGCATCCCTCAAATACAAGGATTATATCATCACCACAGCTAATGTCATCTTACATGAATCAGCATTTGGCAGCTTGATGAGTTTCTGGCCATCTTACTGAAACCAGATTTCCTCCTGACTTCTCTACAATTTGTTTATTTTCACACTGCTTTGATGTGTCATTTATCAGTTTTTAGTATGCGCTAACAAATCAGAACACATTTTTGTTGATTTCTTTAATTTTTCATCACTACTGCTTCCTGTCTTTCCCAATCATTTTCTTTCTTCTGGTATCTTTGCGTAGGCTATATTTGTTTATTTAAAGATATTTTTTTATTTCTTCAGCTTATGATCAGAATTATTGTATTTTACATTTTTTAACATGGATATTTATGCTCCATGCGTTTCATGTTTACTTGTGGTTGAATATACCTATTCGATGTCTGCTGCTTCATGCTTTTTTAGTTTTTCTAATTTACTTAAGTACATCAGGTATGCTCGAACTATTGCATTTTTCTATACAATTGGGTTACATATCTTGGTGTTCTCCTGTCTCTATCGAATGTCAGCTCTGAGCTATCTCAGGTATTCATTTGTCATTGGTTTTATCTATGTTTACTGTTTTCCTTTTCTTCGATTCTCTTATATTTTCTGCCCATTCTTCGAACATTTTCTGTCTTTGCAGCCATGGCGAGGCCTTTGATGGAGATAAAAAGCTGGACCTCCCACATGCCCTCTAGTTTTTGTGAATACTATTTTCTGGCTTCTATTCACGAGACAATAAATTTGATTCGATAGAAAGGTCATAGGATGTATATAAGAAAAAAGCGAATTGTGTTCTACAACCTTTTTCTCTCAAGTTTGACAATAAAAGGAAAATAGTGGCATTTTATTTCTTGTTAGCACATGAATTCAATTAATTTTTCGTGGAGATTGTGAAGGCATTGAAGTTTAGAAATTAGGACTAATTGAATTTATTATAATTAGTGAAATCTGCAAAATTATTGCTGTGGCACAAGCCTGGTTATGCCTCCTTGAGCCATGAAAGTGTCAAATCTCCCGTTCTTCTGGCGTAACTTTCGTAACTTAAAAGTTGTAGAAGCTGAATAGTCTATTTTCTAGCATTCTGTTTTCCCGCCAATTGTTTCCTGCAACTACAATCTGCAGGGAAATTAAGATTACTTCCCGTTTGATGACTTTTCCTGCAATCGGTCAGCTACTGATCCTTTTCCCCTTATTGACACGGTGATAAAACTTGAATTTGCAGCTGGTACCATTCGTAATCCCGATATTGACAAGCTCATCCTTTATATTTCACAAAAGATCACTTGAATAATACTCCATTGGTGTTCTGTTTTAATAAAAAAAAAAAAAACCGAAACAAACAAAACTATGCTGGCGATGACTATTGTACGGGGCGTTAAGAAGTGGAGTAAAACACCATTTTTTTTTCATTCATTTATGAAAGAAATTTAATGTGTTTCTTCATTTTTCTTTTTGTTTTTAAATTATCCAAAGCAGACACGAGCTTTTATTTTCAGAGAAAATTGAATGAGAATTCTTATTCAGTGTTTTTCATGTTCCAACTTTGCGTCCTTCATTTTTCTGAGAAAAATGAAAATAAAAATAAAAAATTGCCGTCCTAATAATCGTTACCTTGACGTAAGGACCTATGGATATTCTTCTTGTTATATTACCATTAACAAAATGATTAAGCAACAGAGTCGTTGTAGTATAGTGGTGAGTATTCCCGCCTGTCACGCGGGTGACCCGGGTTCGATCCCCGGCAACGGCGAAACTTTTAAATGTTTTTGTTTTGGCAACTTCCTCTTCCTTTTTTCTTTGGCAATACTCTTCTTTTCCTCCTAGGACTTGAATTCCCAGCAGAATATGGAAAGTTGAAAACACGCAGTTCCTTCCTATTGAAAGAAAGAGAGAAAAACCGAAACAGTCTTCCTCTGTTGGATTTAGAAATTGGAACCTTCTCCTCTCATTCCTCTTCTCAAACTCAAAACCCTAAAGAGCTATTATTATTCATTTATTAGATAAAAAAGAAGCATGAAACTAGGTAGTGCAGCAGCAGCAGCAACAATAACATCTTCATCAATTGCCACATTTGGGTTTCCAAGGAATTATTACAGCAACCCCTCTTGGTTTGGTCAATTTTTAAAAACCAACATGTTTCCTCACCATTTCCCAATTCTCTCTTCCTCCTCCTCTTCTTCTTCTTCAACATCCATCTCCACCTCCACCGCTGAGGATTCCAATGATGCAGTGGCGGCGGCTAAGCCAAAACAACAGCACCCTTGGCTCATCGTTGGCCTCGGCAATCCTGGCAAAAAATACAACTCCACACGCCATAACGTGTGCACCATTTTCTCCTTCTTGTAGTTTAAAAAATTGAAATTGCAAACTTTATGAATTATGACCTGTAGAAGATGATAATGGTTTTTTGTAATTGTATGTTGGGGTGCTGTTGTTTTACAGGTGGGTTTTCAGATGGTGGATGCTTTAGCTGATGCTGAAGGGATATCTATATCTGGCGTTTCTTTTAAAGCCCTCTTTGGTAAAGGTTGGTTCTTTAGGCTTTTTTTTTTTTTTTTTGGATTAATTGAAACAAGTTCAGATTTTTATCCTTGTTTTGAAATCATTATCTCATTGGATTTTTTATTGGGTCTTCAAGTTGTTCTTGGCTGTGCTCCTATTACAACTATTTGGGGGAACTTTATTTGTGTATAGTTGTAATGGAATGAGTGTTTGACATGAAAATTAACAATTCGGAGAAGATGTTATAGATTTGGGAATTTCTCGAAGCTGTCAATTGTTGTGCTACTGCCGATGATTGTGGCATCCGAGATTTTGATAAAGGTTACAAACTAAGATGGAGGACATTAAATTATATTAGGCGCTATAGCAGCGAGAGGGAGATGATATGATGGAATTTAATTCTTTTTTTTGTTTTTAGTTTTCCTATATACGATCATTAGGATAATAGTTTTGCTATTCCAGGATTTATTGGAAATGTTCCAGTGATGATTGCCAAGCCCCAGACTTTTATGAATGCAAGTGGTGAATCTGTAAGTAAGCTCATCCAAGAGGACCTCTACTTATATTTGCAGTCAAGAGTATTGCCTTCATCTATGTGTCTAGAGTTCTTGCATTGATAGGTTGATTTTCCGATGCCATTTGTAGGTTGGGGCCATCGTTTCATATTACAAGATTCCTTTGAAGCAAGTACTTTTGGTAAAATATTGATAATTGATCTCCCTTTACTATTTAACTTAAGATGGCAATAATGCCCTGCAACATAAGAATCACGCTGATCTTTCTTCGTTTTGTTTTTTTTTTTTTCCTTCAGATTTATGATGACTTAGATCTTCCTTTTGCGAAATTGAGGCTTTTGCCAAAAGGTGGACATGGAGGGCATAATGGGTATCTTCTTCTTCTTGTTGTGTGCGCTTAGTGTTGTACCATTTCTATCCTGGTATTCTGGTATTAATTTTGGGTTGTAGCTTAGCTTCTAGTAAAATGGTCCGATGGCTTTGTCTGAGCCTACTTTAGTGCATGTCTTGTTTGTCATTAGTGGTTTTGGTATTTGATTGGGTTTTGGAGAGGATGTAGATACCATGTTGTGAATCATAGTCATTCTTATTTCTGGCCATCATATTCCACTTTCTCTTGGTACAATGGATCCTTTGTCATGGTTAGTTTTAAACCTTTTTGCTACAAGGAAATTTGCTTTTTTGAGTATCCAATGTTGAGGGCCCTTGTACAGATTCTCTGAAAAATATTGCTTTTCTCCGTTGAAGTACAGAGAAGAATTCCTCATAATATAACTCTTGCAGATTTTATGACTGACTAATTTCTTTTTCCTTCAGTATGAGGAGTGTTATTAATCACTTCAAAGGGAGCCGTGATTTTCCTCGTTTAAGAATTGGTAAGTTTGGTTCCCACAAGCACCAAAATTATACTTAGCAATCTCCTTTCCAGTTTTGCTTTAGCTATGTGTTTGTGAAATCATTCTAGGAATTGGACGGCCTCCTGGGAAAATGGATACTGCTAACTTTGTTCTCCGGCCCTTTACTAAACAAGAACGTGAAGAGGTATGCAAACTTTTCTTAGTTACTCGTGGAATAGATGGTATAGAAGTGGATAGTAGATTTTATTATTCATTGATATTTTTTTCAGTTGGATTTTACTTTTCAACAAGGCATAGAAGCTGTCCGGATTCTTTTAATCGAGGGATTTAACAAAAGTGCTACTTTTATGAACAGTGCTAAATCTATGGAGCAACTTGGTTAATTAACTGCTTCACTAATTATCATTTACATGAAATGGGATGGATCCTATAGGAAATTGATGTATTATGGTGAATGTTAGTGGAATACAGTATTTTTTTGGGATGAAGGATCCCGTTCAAATTTTGTAACTTAGAATACGAGTTTCTCCGTGCATCTAATTTTATTTTTTGTTTTTTATTTTTTATTTTTTGCATTGGAAGATTGTTAGTGCTTTAGAATTGATAAGGTGTACTTCTATTTTATCCAATTAATGTTAAATGCGATTCTTTTTATAATCATTAATAGCATTCCGGGATTTTTATTTTTTTTTCCTTAGAATTCAATTATTTTCTTGAATACTAAAGCCACACTCCACAAAGTTATGGTGTGCAATGCAACCATGGATCACAATTCACAAAGCTCTAAGTACTCTACACTAACTTTAGAATTCGATTCTTTTCCTTGTTACATATGGAGCTACTTTTTCCTTTCATATCTCTAATTGAGAGTTTGAATATTGTCCTGGCGCGAAAGATGCTGCATAGCTGTTCAGTTCAGATCTTGGTATGATTGCATCATGAATTTTTAACAGAAAAATATAGGTTGCAGGACAGATTAAGAATCCTTTGTTTCTATTTCTGTGTTTTGTTTTTGTTTTTTTGTTTTTTTGTTTTTTTTTTTAATCTGAACAAGGGGCCTGCATAAAATAAATGAAGTTGATATCAACACATGCTTACAAGCCACTCATTAACTAAGATTTTTCTATTGAAGACTTCAATAAATTTGATCAGCATTAATTTTCATAATTATAGATCGTTGATAGCAGGAATGCCAAGTTATTTACTAGTTTTTTTTTTTACTTTTTTAGTGCAAGATAATTAATTCAATCTCAATTCCTTGAATTGGTTGTACTAGCTAGCTAGACACCGGAATTCTCATTCAAGATGAAGAAAGTAACTGCAATTTCTCAATTAGCTCTGAAGTAGCCCATTACTAATATCACAATTAATGACTTGCAACCAGCAGTCAGATAAATATATGAACTGATATTGCTCAAAAATGCAAAAAAAAAAAAAAAAAAAAAATTCCAAAACTAATTAATTATTACCAAAATTTAAGAGAAGAGAAGAGAAAAACATTAATTTTAGTACTAGTTACTCTAGGTAGCTAACTAGTTATATATTCAGTCCATGAACCTTTTCCAGAACCAATGCTGCTTCCAGACCCTTTCAACCATGAGATCAATGGGGACGCCCTTGGTCTCTGGCAACAGCCACTGAGCGCACAAGCCCATGACAAGTATCCAAGCAGAAAAGAAGAAGAAAATACCGGCTCTCATATGACACATCATTGATAAGAACGCCTGAGCTATGATGAATGTGAAGAGCATGTTTGAGCTAACTGCAAAAGCAAACCCTGCAGTTCTCGTCTCCACAGGGAATGTTTCACTTGGTATCAACCATCCAAGAGGACCCCATGACCAGGCAAAAGCAAAAACAAACAGGCACACAAAGATCAACACCGTATATGCCTGTGCTTCTGGGAGAGAGCCTGTGGCTTTCAAGCTAGTTACCAATATGATTCCTATTATAACCTGCAATAGTACGATCACATAATTAACAAGCAAAATGTCAACTTGCTTAGTACACAAATATTTATTACTTACAGGTTATAGTTAAGTTATTACACATCAAATCAAGGAGCAATACCTGACTAACGAACATGATGACGGAAGATAAACGAAGCAAGAATCTCCTCCCTGCTTTATCCGCAAGAAAAACTGCGATCAATGTGCTTAGAACGTTAACAAATCCAGTGACAAGAGCGGAGACAAGCGAACCATTGTTCTTGAACCCAACAGTTTGAAACAGGACAGGTGCATAAAACATTATAGCATTGATTCCTGTAAACTGTTGAAACACTTGTAACACGGTGCCTATAATTACTGGGGGCAAGCTCGAGCGCTTCATGAGGTTCTTTAACGAACCCTTGACTTGCTTGGCTCTCTCGTTGGCTGCTTTAATCTGCTCGAACTCTGCATCGACATCTTCGACTCCTCTAATATTCCGGAGGACTCTTTTCCCCTCAGCTTCCTTATCTTGCTCAACTAGGCTTGTTGGTGTTTCATCGATAAATATGGATCCTACAAATAGTAAGAAAGCTGGAACAGCTGCAAGACCCAAAGACAGTCTCCATCCATTTTTATGCATGCCTGAAGTTCCGTAGTTGACAGAATTAGCCATTAGTATTCCCATGGTGACAAAAAGTTGGAATAGAATATTGATTGCCCCCCGAAGCTTCACTGTTGCTGTCTCTGATAAGAATAGAGGTGCAGCCTGCAAAATTTAATCTCAATTGATTACTGAATATAAATATTTTCTAGGTAGCCAATGCCAAAGCTCAAGATAATTCGATTTGTTCTTTCTTTCTTTTGTTCTTGGTTGCAAAAGAGAGGTTCGATTTCGAGATTATGAGCTACAACTCATTGGCATTCAGTTTCATCCAATTAATAAACCAAAACAAATACAGTAGAATAAAACAATAATACATGCATGCATATATACCTCATTGCCGAATCCCACACCAACACCAAGGGAAATTCTTCCAATGATGAGCATGCAGATGTTTTGAGCACCGCTGCTTAAGCCTGCACCTGCCAAGAAAAATAGCGATGCACCCAGCATTGTGCGCTTTCTACCATAACGCTTGCATATCGATGATGCTAAAAAGCTGGAAGCAAGGGCTGCAAGGTACAGTGAAGATGTGAAAAGCTGTAGTTTTTGATCGTCGTACTTGCAGTAATTGTCTTCACGAGCACGAAGCTTTCTCCTGTAGACATCTGGGAAGAACTTGATCAAGAAGTCATTCATGGCTGTCACTCCTCCTGAACGTCACCCGTATTCAAGATAATTAATAATTAAATAAAAAACCGACACAAATAAATCTATATATACACAAGCCTATATATATAGAAATTTATAAGAGTGATAGCCTAGATTATTATTTATATACATGTTAAAAGAAAAGGCTTAGTTGATAGTAAGTTTTTTCAATCCATGGAGCAACAACATGCCTTAACAGAAAAAAAGATATCTAAAAAAAAGGTCATGAGCCATCTTTTCTACACTAACGAAAAAGGGTTGTGATAAGAAACATCGTGCTCTAATTTCTACAGTTAAGCGATCCTCGCAAGTTGAGAAATTAAAAGAATATGACATATATATATACCTGAAATACCAATATCGTAACCGAACATTAAACCAGCACAGGCTGCAAAACCCCAACAGACGACCGCATAACAATTGAGCTTTGATGGATAATTCACATTAATCCTGCCATTCTCTATGTCTGCAACCCTAATACTTGTCATCTTTCTCCAACTCTCTATAATTTTGTTTTTCTTTATGGCTGAATCAGTACTATATTTATACTAGTCGTCCCACGTTCCTATAGCCTAATTAATCCTACAAATATCAGTACTCCTCATGCATGCGTATCCTAATCCTACAATACAACTAACAATAGATCAGTTTTGATGATTATTATTATTATTATCATTTCAGGTTAGATCAGTTTAGATTGTTTTAGGACTCTTACAACTACAAGTACTCTAAACTAAAGAGGATTCCTCTGTGAAAAGACTTGTGTAGTATTTCTTTTGTTTTTAATTAGTTACTATACATGAATCTGAATTTGCTTCATTCGTATGCCACCTATGTATGATGCTTTTTTTTTTTTTTTGATGAGCTAAGACCTCAATATTCAAGTTGGTAGCCAAAAACTACGTTTATTTAAATAAAAAAAAAAAAAAAATAGAAGTTGAAATTCTGGTTTACATTGTGAAAAAAATGAGTTTGAAAGTGCGTATTTTGTTTGAGCATTGGGTGTTTTATTAATTTTTGGGTTGTTTATTTGAATTTATGTATTTTTTTTAAAAAAAATTATTTGCGTGTATTTTTTATATTTTTGTTATTATTGTTTTAAAAGGAATTGGATAATTGCTATTGAATTTATTATAGGTATGATTTGGAATTAATTATAATTTTTTTAAAAATAATTTTCAGCCGAATTGTGCAACAGAAGTTGCAAAATATTTGCAACCACAAGCGTCATGCAAATCAATTTGCAGTTTATAATTAGTTTGCAACCATGCGGCCTAGCTTGGTTGTAAAATTAGATTTTGATCGTATTAATTATTTGCAACCAATTTCGGAGTTGTAGTTTGTTAGATGGGTCTTTCTTTTTTAGCGAGTTACTAGCATATATCCCACGTGTTGTCACGGCATAAAGTGAGTTATATAATATTCTTATGCATTCATTCATATAAAATTTAACATTTAAAAATAATTATTTAAAAGTATCATGTGAAAAAATTCAATATATATATATATATATTCATAATTTGTTGTAAGGTTAGCTAAACAAAAAGTCCGCAAAGTTGAGTAATACAATGTTGCTAATTCGATATTGTTTAATATAAATATCTATTTTATTTAAAATATGTATAATAACTGATAATTAAAATAATAATGTGATAGTTTTTTGAATTTTTGATGATTAATTTTTATCGTATATTATTCATCCGTAATTTGTTAATAAGACGGACGAGACCACCCAAAACAAAAAGACAAAAAAGCTTTGTCAAATCAAAAATTTGGCAAAGAAAATAGAGAAAAAATTACACACAATAAAAATTAAATGATTAAAACAAAGTAAAGATCATAAAAAGGATAAAAATAAATAAAAAACTTTCACTAAAAGCAAAAAAAAAAAACTTAACAAAGTAAAAACATTATAGAATTTTAATGATCAAAATAAAAACAATTTAATAAAATAAGAACCAAAACAAGAAATATTTTTAACTAAAACTAAAAAAATAAATTAGAATAGTTAAAAATGTATTTAATTTTAATGTATAATGAATAATAATCAAATATAATAAAATTTTAATGACCAAAATAAATGAAAGATCATAAAACAAAAACCAAAATATAATAAAATTTTTTACTAAAAGTAAAAAATAGTTCCTTGTAGAAAAAAAATTTAATGATCAAAATAAAAAATAATTACAAAACAGAGACTAAAAAAAAATTCTATTAAATTTAATGATGAAAACAAAGAAAAAAAATCATAAAACGAAATTATAATAGAAAAAAATTTTCACTAAAAGAAAAAAAAAACAACTATAGGATAGTAAACTTTATTTAGTTTTAGTATAGTAAGAATAAAAATCAAACATTATAAAACTTTAATAAATAAAATAAAAACATATCACAAAAAAAATATATAAATGTTTACTAAAAGCTAAAAAAAAATTTATTATAAGGATAAAAATCACATATAATAAAATTTTAATATTTATCATAGGGACAAAAATCAAATATAATAAAATTTTAATGACCAAAATAAAAAAAAATAGAAAAAAGGGACCAAAATAAAAAAGCAATTTCCTTAAAAGCTTGGAAGCGACAACCGAACGGAAAAAGAAAAAAAAAGGCACGTGCATCGAGGCTTGGTCGAGCGACTCGAGCCTACACGTCGGGCCCGGGCTGCTCGCTCAACACCCAAAAACAAATAAAGGTTGCAACTTCCAACGAACTCGAGGTCGTCGGAAGCTTCATCGGAAAATCGAGGTCAAGTTTCGGATTCCTAGAAATTGAATTTCGACATCATTTTTCTCTACAAACACCTCTAAATCATCGGAATAAAGTCAATAAATATATCTAAAACTTAAAAATTATTTTAATACACACAAAACAAAATTAATTACACAATCAAATCGAAACTTTGTTTTCTTTTTTAGCTCGATCTACCTCCTTTAATTATTTAATGGCTTGAAACCACTATAGACAAACTCATCTCTCAAAGATAAAAAAAATCTAATGGATTTTGGCCGATCAAAATGGCCTAAATAAGCTTGACCGAGTGATCTCTTTCTCCTCCCATCTCTCTCTCTTCCTCCCTCCCTTCTCTCTCTACCTAAGGATCAAAATGGATGAGTAAATAAAGATGTGGATTGAAATATTTATTCACAAATATCGGAGAAAAAAGTGTAAAATTATGAATAGTAAAAAGAATAGTAAAATATGAGTGTGTGAATAATAAAATCTGAACGTGTGAACAATGTTTCAAATAATAAATTATCGTTTTGTTTTAGTTTATTTAGCTAACAAGACAATAAAGAAATGGCAAAAAGGAAATAAACAAACAACATTAGGGAAAGAAACAAAGAACAAAAGGGAGTGCTTACCCAAAGCAGAAGCATTAAATGCCCCCCAAAAATAGGAAGAATGGGACAGAATGGCACAAAGGAAGTAAACGAACAACATAAGGGCATAAAGCAGCAAAAGGACTGGCAAGTAGCAAAAGGATGAGGTTGTATTCTCTTACAGCAACTACGTGCAACGAATAGTAAATGTGATCTGAGTTTAATATAAAATCATTTTGATTTAAAAATCTAAATTATTAAATGAGTTCCTAATAATTTTATATTAACTTTAATTAATTACCAAAACTACGTACAATATATATATACCAGGTTTATAAATCCAATATCTTCCAAACTTCATAACTAAGCCTTAAGCATATACAGCACAAGGCTTCGCTAATTATGGCCTCATATATGGAATCGTGCTATTGCTTTGTCAGTGTTAGTTACTTTATAGGAGTTCACCCTATTAGGATCCTCGTAACACAACCCAAAAATAGTGAGAATAGTGAGAATGAAATTTTATCATATCTTAACAATACATGCAATTTCAAGAAGTTCTCAATCTTAATCTCATGTACATAAATCCTCGTAACACAAAATGAATGTTCAATCTCAATTCTATCGTGTAAACAAAAGTAAATATATGTTTATAAAGAATATGTCATAACCCTAATGGTAGTGGACCTACCTAACAAATCCATGTATTGGGCCTTAACAATACAAACTATACTGAACAATTTTCTACCTTGATTTGAATTTCTATCAAGCTAAAATCTCTCCACTTGAATCAATAAACTTCTCAAGATCAAGTCATGCTGCTATTGATTATACAAATACAGTTGACACCGAATTTATAAAAACAAAATTAATCTATAAATAATAAACCTTAGAATACCGAAGCAATGTTCAATAATAAAATAACCTAGTCACTTTTGATGAGATTGAAAAACTCCACTGCAACTTAAGAACACAATCAACAAAAATAATTTTAAATTTGATTGATTTTGGCAAAATTTAAAACTCCACTACAAACTTAGCTAATAATGATCAATAACACCATTTTGAGAGATTAATTCAAGAATACGGAAGATACAAACTCTAAGATAATTGCAAGTGCAAGGCAAGATTTGAGAGAAAATTCTCAAAAATTTTATTATTTTGACTTTTTACAAAAGATACATAAAATAAAGCTTTTATAGCTTAGTAGTTCAACCTAGAAAAAGTTTGGCTAACTTCTAAAACAAGTTAGAATATATGAAATCCAAATAGGAAAATAAAATTCTAATTCAAAAAAGAAATAATTAACTTTACAAAACCTAATAAGATACTACTAAATTAGACTCCAAACATGAAAAACAAGAAATTAAATTCCCAAACAAAGCATAATAAAAAATAAAAATTAATTAATAAAAATCTATAGACACTCTCGTGTCAACACCACAAAAAAAAAAAAAAGAATTTAGCAACGGTTTAAACGGTCGCTAAATTTGAAAAACCATCGCTAACAAATATTAGTGACGGTTTAAAACCGTATGAAAAAGGCTTCTCACTAAATATTTAGCGACGATTTATTATAAAATGTCGCTAATTTAACGACAGATTAATCGCAAGTGCAAGGCAAGATTTGAGAGAAAATTCTCAAAAATTTTATTATTTTGACTTTTACAAAAGATACATAAAATAAAGCTTTTATAGCTTAGTAGTTCAACCTAGAAAAAGTTTGGCTAACTTCTAAAACAAGTTAGAATATATGAAATCCAAATAGGAAAATAAAATTCTAATTCAAAAAAGAAATAATTAACTTTACAAAACCTAATAAGATACTACTAAATTAGACTCCAAACATGAAAAACAAGAAATTAAATTCCCAAACAAAGCATAATAAAAAATAAAAATTAATTAATAAAAATCTATAGACACTCTCGTGTCAACACCACAAAAAAAAAAAAAAAGAATTTAGCAACGGTTTAAACGGTCGCTAAATTTGAAAAACCATCGCTAACAAATATTAGTGACGGTTTAAAACCGTATGAAAAAGGCTTCTCACTAAATATTTAGCGACGATTTATTATAAAATGTCGCTAATTTAACGACAGATTAATCGCAAGTGCAAGGCAAGATTTGAGAGAAAATTCTCAAAAATTTTATTATTTTGACTT